TTTTGTTTATAGCCTTTAGCTACTAATCATGCCTTGTATTTATCAATAGACCCATCTGGTCTTAATTTCTTCTTAAACACCCATTTACTACCAATAGGCTTAGTTTTAGGAGGTAAATCTACAAGTTCCCACTTGTGATTAGCAATATTGGATTCTAACTCATTATTGATGACTTNGTCTTTAGCTACTAACCGTACCTTGTATTTATCAATAGACCCATCTGGTCTTAATTTCTTCTTAAACACCCATTTACTACCAATAGGCTTAGTTTTAGGAGGTAAATCTACAAGTTCCCACTTGTGATTAGCAATATTGGATTCTAACTCATTATTGATGACTTCCTTCCAAAAAGGTGCATTTGTAGAAGTTATAACATCGTTATAAGTTATTGGTTTATCATTCACAATATAGACATAAAAGTCATCACCAAAGCTATTCTCTTTTCTCATTCTTTTACTTTTTCTCAACTCTAGCACCTCATTCTTAATACCACAAGAACCACTAACATGTTCTTGAGTATCTTTACGTTCATGAACTTTCATAGGAAACACATTCTCAAAGAAAATGGCATTATTGGATTCAATAGTAGAATTAGCTTCCATAATGTCACTTTTAATCACAAGAAATCTATAAGATGTGCTATTAGAACCATATCCAATAAATACACAATCACAAGTTATAGAACCTATTTTTCTCTTTTTAGGCTCAAGTAAAATAACCTTTACCAAACTCCCCCACACTTTGAGGTATCCCAAACTAGGTGGACGTCAATTCCAAAGTTCATAAGGTGTTTTACCGGTTTTATTATGAGGTACTTTATTTTGTATGTGGCATGCCGAAAGGATAGCCTCCTCCCAAATGTTGGTGGGTAACCCTGAACTAACTAACATAACATTCATCATCTCCTTTAGTATTATATTTTTCCTTTCCCCAGTGCCATTAGACTCGGGAGAGTAAGGAGGAGTAATTTCATGAATTATGCCACATTGTGCACAATACTCATTAAAAGGATTAGATTCATATGCACCGCCTCTATCGGTTCTTAATCTTTTAATCCTTTTATTGCTTTGGTTTTCAATTTTGGTCTTGTACTTTATAAACATCTCANTGTTATATTTTTCCTTTCCCCAGTGCTATTAGACTCGGGAGAGTAAGGAGGAGTAACTTCATGAATTATGCCACATTGTGCACAATACTCATTAAAAGGATTAGATTCATATGCACCGCCTCTATCAGTTCTTAATCTTTTAATCCTTTTATTGCTTTGGTTTTCAATTTTGGTCTTGTACTTTATAAACATCTCAAGTGCTTCATCTTTAGTTCTCAACAAATAAAGTTTGGTGAACCTTGAATGATTATCAACAAATATCACATAAATTCTTTTACCACCTTTTGTCATAGTATTTTTCAAATCACTCAAGTTACTATGAACTAATTGTAAAAGTTCACTCTCTCTAGAAATGGATTTACATGGTTTCTTAATAGACTTAGTTTCAGCACATATTTCACATTTGTCTATATTAGTTTCACACACATTAGGAATCAATCTCATTTCTTTCATTTTCTTTAAGTATCCAAAGTTCACATGTCCAAGTCTACCATGCTACACATCAAGAGAGTCAACCAAGTAAGCATAAGAAGATGAAACATTTTCATTAATAATTTCACTTACATTAAGCACATAAAGACCTTGGTCAAGATTACCTTTACCAACAAAGATGTCATTTTAGACAGTTACAATACCACCATAAAAAAGATCTCCGGCCTTTCAAAGTAATTGAACCGACACAAGGTTGTACTTTATCATAGAAACATGTAGGACATCGGAAAGTAAAAGAGTTTTGTTGGAAGTAAATTTAAGGAGTACTTTCCCTTTTCCTACAACCAGTATCGATCTATTATCACCCACATATACACATTCGACACCTTCCTTGACGCTAGTATATGATGCAAATGCATCTCTATTGACACAAATGTGCCTAGTGGCCCCGGAGTCTACTACCCAACCTTTTGCTCTCATGACCAAGTTTACCTCACACACTACTGCCACAATGACATCATTGGTTTCTACTACATTAGCCTTTGGTTTAGGCTTGTTGGTGTAGTTGTTGTTATCTCTCTTTCGATATTTACACATTGAGGTATAATGTCCTACTTTATCACAAATATAACACTCACCTTTTTTCTTTTGAATTTGAGGATTAGATACTTGAGACTTATTTTTTATTATTATGGTTGTGAGGTTTCCAATTCAATTTTTGGCCATGTTTCCTATTGTTGGTGTTGTGGGATTCTAGTTGGTCCACCATCTACCACATTAGGCTTGGACACCATTTCTTTGGCTTGGGTAGACTTTTGTAAAATCTATTTTTCTTCTCAATTTTAATGTGGACAATGGTCTCTTGAAATGTCATAACATTTCTCTTTTGTCGAAATTTGAGTTTATACTCGCTCCAAGACTTGGGTAATTTTTCTACAAGGCATTGAGTCTTGAATCTCTCGGGTAATACATCACCCTCCTTGGCTAACCCATTTATTATATTTTGAAACTCATAAATTTGTGATGTAATGGTCTTGTCCTCAACCATTTGATAATGAAAAAAAATTAATGGCTAAAAATTTCTTAGTACCTTTATCCTCAAATTCATATTTTGATATCAACTCATCCCATAAAAATTTAGCATTCTCAATGTGACTATACACATCAAATAGGTCATTAGACAAAGCATTACGAATAGTACTCAAGCATAATTTATCAGCAAGATTCCAATTTTCTAAAGCTTGAACATAATTTTCAGTATCATCATCGGGTCTAAGTTCGGTTAGAACAAATAATAATTTCAAAAAATCCAACACATCAAGAACCTTTTGTTTTCATCTACGAAAATTATTTCCATAAAAAGATTCAATTTTCGAAGCATCGGCTAAGATCTTTGTTTGTGCAAGAAGCTGTGTATCCATTGCAAAAATCAACCTTTAATAATATTGTGTAATTTTTTTAATAAAGCAATGAAATGATGTCAAAAACAACTCTTGCACAATTAATATCTTAAAAACAAAGACTCAAGAATTTAGACCCAAAAAGATTTGCTCTAAAATCACAATTTATAAAATATAAGTAACAGAATGATTTCACCAAACTATAGATCAAGCCGAAGCCTTGTTCTTAAAGGTTGATATGCGCCTCTCGAAGTCAATGATTCGGTCTGATAGGTCCTTGACACGACAACCTCCTAGGATTTTTATAGCTTCACCTCCACCAACACAGACTTATTGTGAAGAGTGGTTAACAACCCTTTTTGATAGTTCCTTGTGGAAGCACAACAAATTTTTTCTAAAGAGAACATAAGCTTTGAAGCAAAGAAAACGAGATGAGAAACAAAATTGCAAGAGAACAAGGGAGCCAAAAATCTAAGTGTACTGCCAAGAAAAAACGAAGACCAAAAGTAAAGCTTTCTTTGTAATCTATTTTAACGGTAACAAACAAAGGAAGTGGGCCATGGGCTTGCAAAGACAAAAGGCTAAGTCAATGGGCTTAGAAATAATATAAGAGAGTAGACCCAACTAATTAAATATTTTGAAACACAATAAAATAAGCCCAACACAAATGAGTTGGGTTCACATCAATATTCGTTTGACCTAAATTTGACACGATTACATGTTGACCTTGTAAGACTGATCAGAAAATGATTTGAATGTGAATTTGTTCACTACGAGTCAATGTTTTAAAGCCTGGCTCGACGAATTGACCCCAAAACCCGGTGAACCAAACCCTAAACTGGGCGGTTCAAGAGTTAGATCNGAGTCTTGAATCTCTCGGGTAATACATCACCCTCCTTGGCTAACCCATTTATTATATTTTGAAACTCATAAATTTGTGATGTAATGGTCTTGTCCTCAACCATTTGATAATGAAAAAAATTAATGGCTAAAAATTTCTTAGTACCTTTATCCTCAAATTCATATTTTGATANGAACAATTAGATTTAGGTAGAATTACATCGAGATTTTTTGAAATTTGTCACTTAATCACTAAGATTTTGACATTTAAAAATACTACACACAGATCCCCTAAGGTGTGTCAGCGTTGCACATATATCCTTAATAAATTATACTTAACCCCCTAAAATTTGTAAGTATATAATACTTAAACCTCTAAGTTTAAAATATTATACTTAGAACAAAAATACTCCAATTAAAGTTAGGATATCAAATATTTTAAATTTTACAACAAAAATTTATGTTCTATTGTATCATTTATTGAAATAAATTAAAATTAAAAATTTAATTTTTTCTTCAAAAATCATAAATAGTATACAATTATACTATTTATTAGAATAAAACAAAAAAAATCAAACAAAAAGTCTAAGTAATAGAACATAAATTTTACATCCAAAATTCATGTTCTATTATGTCATTTATTAAAATAAAATCAAAAATAAAAATCTAGTTTAAAAAAAAATCATAGTTAGTATATAATTATATTATCTATTAGAATAAAACAAAAAAAAAATAAACAAGGGGTCAAATGGTAATGAACACAATATCTTTTAGTTTTAATTGAGGTAGTTTGGTATTTTAATTTGATCGTTTAAATAACTAAATTAAATTCAAATAAACAATATAATTGTATGCTAATTATGATTTTTTTAAGAAAAAGTTAAATTTTTATTTTTGATTTTATTTCAATAAATGATACAATAGAACATTAATTTTAGTTATAAAATTTAAAATATTTGATATTTTATCTTTGATTGAAGTATTTTTGGTTTAAATATAACATTTTAAACTTAAAGGGTCTAAGTAATATATGTTTATAAACTTCAGAGGCTCTGAGCATAATTTATTAACTGATATATTTATAAATGTTATGCATATAAATTTTAGAGGGTCTGTGTATAATATTTTAAATGTCAAGGTCTAAATGATTAAATGACAAACTTCAAGGGTTTGAACGTAATTTTACGTAAGATTTATAAAACCCCCCAACATTTTTGGGGATGGCCTCTCGCTGCTCTCTCTCATCGTCTCACGTTAGTGGCCTGTCTAGTGCTACTGTTGCTAAACTTCGACGATCATTACTCCGGCATCCTCATCTCATCCCCATCTCTCTACCTACCAGTCAACACATCGGATAGGTGTCCAGTCAATCACCGCGGTTACCCCTCAGATTCTTGGGCTTGTTAATTTTTCTCACCCTCTCACAGTCTCACAATCACAGCAACAGATCGCACCGTCTCACAGTGGCATCAAGGCAGCAACATACAGCAGGTAATCTTTCTCATCTCTTTTGTTGAAAGTTGAATCTTGAAGCTAAACCGACTTGGGAATTGAAGTTGGAATTCCACTGTTTCTTTGGGATTTTTCACTTGAATTTTAATTCAATATGCACGTCAAATTGAGTTGGTCATTCAATTTGTAGTGTGAGGTTTTAGTGATTGTTATATATNCTTTGGGATTTTTCACTTGAATTTGAGTTCAATATGCACGTCAAATTGAGTTGGTCATTCAATTTGTAGTGTGAGGTTTTAGTGATTGTTATATATGGATTTAAGTCTGATTTGCATTTGTAAGATCAGAAATTGTGTGGGGAAGACTGAAAAGTTTGACACACTGGTAATTCTTACTCGAGACTCTTAATGTCTCTCACCACTGCTTTTTGAGCTTGTGCCCTTTCAAACTCGCTGCACATAGGATTGAATTATAAACGTGGAAGAAGATTTTACAAGTTAGAAAAAAAAGATTGTATTTGTAACTCGGCCTTTGTACTTGATTTTTTCTATGTACCTTCCTTAGTACAATTTGAGGTTGAGGAGTGAAAATTGTGGAATATTCTTGGATTGATGAATAATTGGAGTCTTGAACTTAGAGAGGTACTTTTTGTCTTGAAAATTGGATGCATTTGATACATGTTTAATAATTTTTTGGTTTTTGTTTGATCTTGCACATTAAACATGTTATTTTTATAATTATTATAACTCTTTAGCATATTTATTATCATTAATAATTATTTTAATTTTTTATTACATGACTGGGTCACTGAACTACTAACCCATTGATTTGGCCCCTTTGTCGGGTTGATGTCTGGGCCGGGTTTAAATACTTTGGTATGGATATTCAAAGAAAAAATAGAAAGCACAACAAACCCTAAATTCCTCCTTTTGAAAGTCACCTGCATTGCTGCTATCCTATCTAGCTCTCCTATGTCTCTTGGAGTCTAACTCTCCAAAAGATCTTCTCTCTCTTCCTAAATCCCTTTCATCTGCCGCCTTATGAATGATGCCAATAAGGTTGTGTTTCATACTTTGCCCATTTAATACAACAGTGGTGAACCTGCCAGAAAAGTTGGATGAATACCCCTCCTAGACAAATTTTTTTTCTCTCTAAAATCTATCTACTATTTGACGAGTTCTCTTCCTAGCGTTGCAAGTCAGTACTGAAATTCTTGTCATTACCATCAGGTTAGTTTTAAGCTCATTAGCTGCTATCCCATCCGAAGTCACCACTATAATGAGAACAATCATTATAATTGTAGTTTGCTACACTTCTAAAATTCTATGATTATTCACTACTATGACCCATTAACCTAAAAATTCACACTAGAGTACTAGACATTAAATTTATTTATCAAATCCTGATTTTCTTCTTGTATAATACAATAATTAACGTACACGGTGATAATTATATAATTTGAAATGTATCTTGACCGCATCTGTGCCCTACTTTTGAAGATTTTTGTGTTGATGTGTTTGTGTTGTGTCACCCATATCTCATATACATGTTCGTGCTTTATAGGTGATTACTCAATGATTTTCTTCTAGTTATTTTCATGGATGCGTATGAATAGATAATTTGGATGAAATTATGTATGTATATGTGTTAAACATGTAGAAAATGGGTTGTCCTATCATGTTATTGTGTTGCGCGGGTTGTGTTGCGTTACAGTCACATGATGTGGTAAGGGTAGGGTTTGGTGCCCAGATATAAAATTCTTATAATACCCTATTTTCTTCATATAACATCCCTTTAACTGCTTATAATTTCCTATCCATAATCCTTTAACTCAAAACTCCCTACAATTTATCTCTTCTCACTTCCATATGTCTCTTTCTTCCTCTCTTTATTTCGCCCCTTTACAATTGCACGCATGAATAACCGTGGCAAGACCCATTACGTGACACCTCATGACAGAAAGCTGTTCATCTTGTCATGGCCCGACAAGAACAGGAGTATTCCTTACTCTCTCTCTCATTTACTCGCCCACGCATGCATGCGTACGCACAAAGCACACCCCCTGAATGTGTTTCCCCCCAAGCGGCAACATCATTGATGTCCAATTTTGTTAAACTTTGAGGGATCAAACTGCTATTCATTGATAGGGTTTTTATTTGGTTCTTTATTTTTGGTAGCTTTCTTCTCCATATGCAACGTGCTTCTAGAGATTAGATTAATTAGGATAAACTTATCAGAAAAAGTTCAAATAAAACTTGCTACTCCTTCACTAATTTAGCATTCATATTTATTGCTTTATAAGGTCCCACAGGCAAATCTTCAGAATTTATTTTTCTTATGTATGTCAGATAAAGTGTTTGATCTTGATTTATTATCATTTTTTGTTGTGACCATAGTATTTTTTATCTAGAGATTCTTGTTCTCATTGTAATTGTTGATCAATTTTATTTCGGGTTACCTGTGGTACAAGTGAGTTGTGTTTGTGTCAGGTCGTTTGACACAATTAACTAAACAGGCTATGCTAGCAAGCTGAAAGAAACTTCTCGTCTTTGAGATAGGATGAGCTTTGGGAGCTTGAAGAGTCTGGTGGCGGAAGCGGCCATTAGAGGAGTGACCGAGGCAAGGGCAAATATATTTGGGCATGTACTTAATCCAACAGGGCAGAGATCTTCGCACAAGATCCTACGCAAGAAGCTGATTGGTCAGAAAGTTGCAGAATGGTACCCTTATGACATCAAGAAAGATGACCCTCTTGTCATGGCCCGACAAGAACAAGAGTATTCCCTACTCTCTCTCTCTCTCTCTCTCTCTCCCCCACATCCACACACACACCCCTGACTGTTTGGTTCAAGCTGCAACATGATATATGTCCTCAACTTTGTTAAACTTCAAGTGTTCAAATTGCTATTCATTTGTAGGTTTTTTATTTCATTCTTTATTTTTAGAAACTTACATTTCATTGATTGTGGCTGTCTCCTCAATTTGCAACATGCTTCTAGAGATTAGATTAGTTAGAGCATACATGTCAAAATATTCTAATAACAGTTGCTACCTAGTCATTGTTTTAGCATGCGCATTTTTTACTGCAAATCTTTGGAATCTAGTGATGTTTTTATTTATCAAAAAGGGTATTTGGTCTTACTTTTACTTATGTTTTTTCTTTTGACCATATTCATTTATAGAGATTTTGTTTTTGGGCCTATTTCTCATAAGTGAGGAATGGAAGTGCAATTTCTTAATGTGGCTTCTTGTTCGTACTCAGCCATGAGTTGGTAGTACACATATACATACAAAGAGTGTTTCCCATCTTCATGAATCACATTGTCAAAAATTTCAAAACAAAAATTCGATGATTATTGTAGCAACCATTGAAGTAGTTCTTTTATTCATTTGACTAACCTGGCTAGAGTTTGGTGAAAATAAATGACTAGATTAGAAGTAAATGTGCCTGACGTGGGGTTAGACTATTACTCTTATAATTGTAGGTTAGAATAACATTTTGTATATTTTATTTTTTCTTTGGTATTTTTTATTGTATCAGCTGGTTGTACTTTAATTAGTTAACAATACTTTGTTTGATTTATTCCCGTAACTTGATATATTTTACTAATTAATAATATTACTCAAACTTAATTTGAGGACCTGATGTATTATTGCTATTAGATTGGTAATGGACCCTCTACAAGTTAGGAATCCGTTGATTTTATGGCAAAAATAGACTTGGTCCCAAATTAAATCCCAAAATTAGATCTAATTAGCATTACTTTTTATTAATATACTTCCGGTAGCACCTTTACATTCCATTTGTACTATATTTCTTGGGTTAGATAATGTGTTTTAGATATATGATACATGGTTATTATTATTTACATTATTTTAGATTTTTTGTAATGTTTTAGAATTTTTTGAACATTTTAATTTCCATTTCGCGTGAATTGGCTGATACCGTATTACGACGTTACAACTGATGTGTCTCGGTGCCTTCCTAGTTAAGGTTTGATATTGTGACCTTGAACCATGACAAGAGACGATCTTCACTAGGTCAAATTTCGGAGGAAACTTGGTTTACAGACTCGGTTTGTTGTTTTAATCCAAACGGGAGAAGATCTTGTCAAATGTGTAACAGGAGGCCCGAGTTTATGTATTATCCAACTTGGATCGTGGGTGATTTGGTATGGAGTATGATTGCAGATACACTTTAAGTTTCTTTCTGCTATACTCGTGATCAAGTGTTTAAAATTAGGATGCTACCTTGGATCGATGAGGGATGCTAAAGGACCGGAATCATAGGATCGGATTGAGAATTGTAAGATCTTACTAACTCAAAAAATGTAATGAAAAATATATGTAATAATATAGAACTCTTAAAAACAAGAATTAACCAAGCCTAGTATATATTATGTTCAATATAAATGTTATGAAAAATATACGACTTAGAGATTTTATTAAAATTTGTGAAACTACAATTGAGCATTGAAGATGGTTGAAAATCAAAGGCCGGTTGTTGATCTTGTGGGATTTTGCGGAGGGTAATAAGAGAATTGAAGTATTTTGGAGAGACGAATATAGAGGAGTGACTGAAAAGTTGGGCCAGTTTGAATAAACAACTTTGACTATTCACCATCCAAACAAAAAAAGGCATAAAAGAATAAAAATAGAAGACCATTTGGATATAATCTCTGACAGATAAAGGAGATCAAACCTAACTATAGTTTTCAGCTTTACAACATGAGAGATGAACGAGTGAAGAAAACTTTTTATAACAAAAGAAATTTTTTTGTAGCTTTTCTCATCTGCCAAAATTCTCTACTGAACTGACAATTATACGAAACAATCACATTTGGATCGAGTCTTTAAGGGTTAAAACAATAAATATGAATTGGGCAATTCAATATTGAAATGCGCCTAACAAATAAACTTAACTACTTGGATTGGTAAAATCGCAATTTCAGGATTCTACGATCCTATAAGATCAAGATTACGATGCATTAAGATCCTATGAATTAGGGATTCTACGAGAGACTCAGATTGATTTATCTGTTTACAATCCTACGATCCGGATTGGGATTTGGATAATTATGGTTGTGATGGGAGTAGACTTGGTATGTTGTTTTGGTTCGTGGTTCACTTGGAAACTTTTGTAAGAATTTCTTTCACCATTATATAGCAATATATATAATTATATATTCCTCTACGCTTAACTAATTAGTATTTATGTTGTGCTTGTGATAAGACTGTCAAAGTAAGCCTAATCCAAAATAACGTACGTGCTAGTGTTTGTCNTTAGATTAGTTAGAGCATACATGTCAAAATATTCTAATAACAGTTGCTACCTAGTCATTGTTTTAGCATGCGCATTTTTTACTGCAAATCTTTGGAATCTAGTGATGTTTTTATTTATCAAAAAGGGTATTTGGTCTTACTTTTACTTATGTTTTTTCTTTTGACCATATTCATTTATAGAGATTTTGTTTTTGGGCCTATTTCTCATAAGTGAGGAATGGAAGTGCAATTTCTTAATGTGGCTTCTTGTTCGTACTCAGCCATGAGTTGGTAGTACACATACACATACAAAGAGTGTTTCCCATCTTCATGAATCACATTGTCAAAAATTTCAAAACAAAAATTCGATGATTATTGTAGCAACCATTGAAGTAGTTCTTTTATTCATTTGACTAACCTGGCTAGAGTTTGGTGAAAATAAATGACTAGATTAGAAGTAAATGTGTCTGACGTGGGGTTAGACTATTACTCTTATAATTGTAGGTTAGAATAACATTTTGTATATTTTATTTTTTCTTTGGTATTTTTTATTGTATCAGCTGGTTGTACTTTAATTAGTTAACAATACTTTGTTTGATTTATTCCCGTAACTTGATATATTTTACTAATTAATAATATTACTCAAACTTAATTTGAGGACCTGATGTATTATTGCTATTAGATTGGTAATGGACCCTCTACAAGTTAGGAATCCGTTGATTTTATGGCAAAAATAGACTTGGTCCCAAATTAAATCCCAAAATTAGATCTAATTAGCATTACTTTTTATTAATATACTTCCGGTAGCACCTTTACATTCCATTTGTACTATATTTCTTGGGTTAGATAATGTGTTTTAGATATATGATACATGGTTATTATTATTTACATTATTTTAGATTTTTTGTAATGTTTTAGAATTTTTTGAACATTTTAATTTCCATTTCGCGTGAATTGGCTGATACCGTATTACGACGTTACAACTGATGTGTCTCGGTGCCTTCCTAGTTAAGGTTTGATATTGTGACCCTGAACCATGACAAGAGACGATCTTCACTAGGTCAAATTTCGGAGGAAACTTGGTTTACAGACTCGGTTTGTTGTTTTAATCCAAACGGGAGAAGATCTTGTCAAATGTGTAACAGGAGGCCCGAGTTTATGTATTATCCAACTTGGATCGTGGGTGATTTGGTATGGAGTATGATTGCAGATACACTTTAAGTTTCTTTCTGCTATACTCGTGATCAAGTGTTTAAAATTAGGATGCTACCTTGGATCGATGAGGGATGCTAAAGGACCGGAATCATAGGATCGGATTGAGAATTGTAAGATCTTACTAACTCAAAAAATGTAATGAAAAATATATGTAATAATATAGAACTCTTAAAAACAAGAATTAACCAAGCCTAGTATATATTATGTTCAATATAAATGTTATGAAAAATATACGACTTAGAGATTTTATTAAAATTTGTGAAACTACAATTGAGCATTGAAGATGGTTGAAAATCAAAGGCCGGTTGTTGATCTTGTGGGATTTTGCGGAGGGTAATAAGAGAATTGAAGTATTTTGGAGAGACGAATATAGAGGAGTGACTGAAAAGTTGGGCCAGTTTGAATAAACAACTTTGACTATTCACCATCCAAACAAAAAAAGGCATAAAAGAATAAAAATAGAAGACCATTTGGATATAATCTCTGACAGATAAAGGAGATCAAACCTAACTATAGTTTTCAGCTTTACAACATGAGAGATGAACGAGTGAAGAAAACTTTTTATAACAAAAGAAATTTTTTTGTAGCTTTTCTCATCTGCCAAAATTCTCTACTGAACTGACAATTATACGAAACAATCACATTTGGATCGAGTCTTTAAGGGTTAAAACAATAAATATGAATTGGGCAATTCAATATTGAAATGCGCCTAACAAATAAACTTAACTACTTGGATTGGTAAAATCGCAATTTCAGGATTCTACGATCCTATAAGATCAAGATTACGATGCATTAAGATCCTATGAATTAGGGATTCTACGAGAGACTCAGATTGATTTATCTGTTTACAATCCTANTGTATAGAAAATGTAGTTGTATCCTATTTACAGTTGGGAAATGATACATTTTTCTTTTGATCTAGAGGACATTATTGAGGTATTTGGTTTAGTTTCAGGCTTCAAATTAAAATGTCTAAGAGTTTAGTTTTAGGAATGTAGTCTCATTTGAGTTATGTTAGCTACGTTCTCAAATTAGTTAGGTTATGTGATGCAAGAATGGTCTTTGAAGTATTTAGGGCTTCCATTGAGAGAAATTTGTAGACATAGAGGTTTTGAGTACAAAAGAGATTGACCGCACGCACAACTTAGGATTATGGTATTAGAGAATTAGATGTATGCATTAAAAATCATTTAAGACAAAGAAAAGAGATTAAATATCCAAGAACTAGGTGGTCAAACTTAAAAAGACTAATTTTAGATTTTTGGGGTAGAATTCAAAATTTGAAAACCGGTCTATTAGTGATAAGGGAGTATTTATTAGTGATAATGGAGTTAATTTTGCTAACAATTACTGCAATAAAGGAATCCAAGAAATGGACTTGTTAGATTTGAGCATATGCGGGTTGATCATCACTCTTTTGTTCTTAATTTTAAAGACAGGTGGTCTAAGGTTATTGTGAAGGGATGTGAAGGTTTCAAGATCATGAAAATTGAAATTGGTGAAATATCATTCAAAGGAGTGGAATAGGGGTATTTTTGGGGATGTTAGAACGGAGAAAGAAAGTATCTTGAGAAGAATTGAGGAAATTGACTATCTTGAAAGTTTGAATGGCAAATCGGAGAACTTGTGAAGGGAAATATGTGATCTTAGAAATAAATATTAATGTGTGTTGGTGAAAGAAGTACAAGTTGGAGACAAAAGGCAAAAATTAAGTAGATAAAGGAGGATGTTATTACAATTTAGTTACCTTTAATAACCTCTATAAAATATCAATGGTAATTTAGTGTCCAAATACAAATAGATCCCCCAAAATTGAATATTACAAAAAGAATATCAATATTCGCTGAACTTTGATTCTTCTAATACTTTAATCCCGATCTTTTCTTCAAAATCAACCTAAAAAATGTAAGTGGGGAAGTATACAATACACTAGGAACAAATATGCTCAACGAAAAAAATACAAACAATCAAATACTAAATAACTCTAGGATCACGTAATCATCAAATATCTCAAGTAGTCAGGTAACACATACTTCACATATCACATGCCAAGCGAGACTTGAAGGTAGACCTGACACTTCACCAATCACCCCACCTCAAACCAATCTCACGGGTCTCTTGGTCTGGCGATGCATTGGACTAGTGGCTACTAGTTTCCAGCTCCCAATCCACACAAAACATGATCAATGTGCTCATACTCAACATACTTAAATAAATTATATCAGACTTTTAGAATTATTGTTCAAATCAAATAGAATACAAATTGAAAATAACCAAGGAACTACTCTTTGCAAGAGATTCAAGACAGAGCATATTGTATACTGCTCCACTTCAGATCATCAATCGATGCCAGTAGATATGAAGTTCAAGGTATTTTGACCATAATCCTCGAATTTGGTGGCAATCTAAGCTCAAATCATCAAAGTGAATTGTTACTTTTTCTCGTTTATTTTTTCTCTTTCTCCTCTTGCAACCACCACTCTATCTTTGCTTTTCTACACACAAGTCTTACTTAAGGCTTCCCACCTTTTAGAAACAAGTGTTATTCATATAGACAAAACACTTGGTGCCCAAGTGTCTTGG